TTAAAAAGATTAGTGTCATTCCATGACTACATTTAAGATATTTAACTTTAGTTCTCTGGTAACTAATATCAGAGCCAAGTATTTGAGAAACAATAGTTATTGATGTTGTGATAGAAGTGGTACATGGGTGAGTGGGCTAAAAATGTTATTGAGCCAGTCTCATAGGACACCTTGTTAATGGCAAACCTTACTGAGTGATTCAATGTTTGACTTTCAATGAAAACGAAGGAGCAAAAGAAATGATTTAAGAGAAATTTGAGGATATCTTGCACGAAATTGTATCCTCAACCGATGTTATAGGGGCATAAAAGAAAACATTTATAGAGGACATAACTTTTTAAAGAAGGTGATAAGGGACTTACAGTGAGGTGAAGTTGTAATATCCAAGCAGCGGCAAATATATATATATATAATTAAATAACAAAAAAAAAAGAAAGAGATGAGAGATCGAGAAAGGAGAGATGCGACTATGAAAGCAAAGAGGGTCAAGCTGCATTGACGATCGAGAGAGAAGAGTCTCACCGCGTTGCGCGATGCAGCAGCCGAGAGAGAAAGGAAATGAGGCACGATGGCCATGGCGCATACGGCGGTGGAGAAAGGAAGCAGTAGGGTGAAAAAAGAAGAAAGAAAAGGAAAAAAAAGGCAGAAAATAAAAATGAGAAGAAGAGAGAGAAGAATCATGTCGGGTAAAGAGAGAGAGAGAGAAGAAAAAGAAGAAGAAATGAAAAAAAAAAAGAGGAGAGAGAAAGGCCACGGGGAAAAAGAAGGAAGAAGAAAAGAAAAAAAAAGAAGAGAAAAAAAAGGGAAAAAGGAAGAAAAAAAGAAAAAGAAAAAAAAGAAAAGAAAGAAAAAAAAGAATAAAATGATGAAAGAAAAAAAGAAAAAAAAAGAAAAAAATTAATTAAGGAATCAAAATGGAGGGGTGGTGACCAAATATGATGTTGGTGCGCCACATGTGACAACGCAAACTGATTCGATCATTAGCGCATGATATTTTCGATGACACGCGTATGATGACGCGTGGTGGTGCTAGCGACCGAGACCATGTGTCTGAAGGTAAAATCCATTCTTAATTTTGCGTAATATAATTTTCAAAATTATTCATAATTTAATATATGTGTTTCTATTATAAACAGAAAAAATTATCCAAATATTATTCGGATTTTCGAGATGACCGTAGACCGAGGTAGAAAGGATTTCCAAAACTTTTCTGATCACACCATAGATAAGAATTATGTGTATTCTATACGGAGACATAAATTATATGTTTATGTAAATGTATATATGTATAGTGCATTGTGTATGAATATTTAAATGTATGTGTAATATAATAAGAATATAATTAGTATGTCTAATTTGTATTTGTTTGTGTTTATATAGTATATATATATATGTTGTTACGCATGTGTGTGTATATATATAAAAATATACAATAAATGTGATATGAATTGATAAGAACATAACTGATAAGAGCAAATACGTAAATAAATATGTATATGATATGTTATGTCTGATTGTGTGTACATGTTTAAGTGTAAACACGTGTGTATGCTTCTGTAGAAATTATGTGCGTGTGTGAATATAAATATATATTACGTTTGAGACATGTAATGAAGATACATGTCTGCATTGTAATATACGTGAGTGTGTATTAATATGTGTATACATATGTTATACATATTAAATGTATAACTAATGTGTGTATGTTTAAAATTTGGGTACACTGCACTGGTTGTGTGATCTGGTGTAGATGTACAGTGCACTGTACTTGTTGTGTGATCTGGTACAGTTGCGCGAGAAATCTGAGTATCCTGTGCTGGTTGTGTGATCTAGTACAGGATAATTCAAAAAGTGTTTTGAAATGTATAGTTCTGATATGAGTGATGATATCGTATATTGTGTATATGTTTGTATTTAATTGTATGTAGAAGTTAGGATCTTAAATTAATATAAATTTTAGATTTTTAAATAAGAAACTAAATAAGTTAAATAAATCTAGCAAACAAACATTAAAGAAATTGAGAAGTGTAAGTTAGTTAGAGAAATAGATTGAATAAGCCACTAGGAAGGCAATCATACGAAAACTGTGAAGAGTAAATAAGACACTTAATTCGTTAGTCGTGAATTGAGGAGAGGAGGGTGCGTGTGTGGCTGAAATTCAACGGGTATGGTGAACATGCACATAGATAGAGTTTAAAACTTATTTCAAACGTGGATAGTTGTTTGTGAATGGGCTACCTATCAAATATAACTGTTGTGGCTAATGTAAGATTTTGTGTATGTACTATCTATGCAAATGAGTGGATCTATTTCGCCTCTCCTCGATAACGATATAACATGCATCAAAGTGATGATAACCTAATTAAACTTTAAAATACTAAATAATATGAAATTATAAATCCGAGTGAAGTAATATGTGTGTGTGAGGAAACCCGTTTTAGTTTGAGAAATCTGTTAATCCCTGAGTGTGATTTAAAAGGAGAACAAGAAAAGTTAAAAGAGTGAGGATTAGAATATATTTTGTATGATGATTTGTTTTATTGTGTATTTTGATTGTGATTCTTGTTTGTCATTTTCTTTAATGATAAAAATTATTATATTTTATATATTACGTGAATGTATGTATATAAATTTTCGTTATAAAATCTTTTTTCTTACTGAGCTCGTGAAGCGCACTCCAATTCACCCACATGCAGATCAAAGGAGATGAGGAATAAGTTCAAGATCAATAAAAGATGGTGAAGAAAAATTTAATTACCTTTTATTTTAATATTGTAAATTTATTTAGATGTCTCATTTTTTTGTAAACGAATAATTATTCTATCACAAGATATATGTATTAAAGTGTAATTCCGCTGCATATTTAATATTTATCTGTTCCACTAGTTGAAAATGTTGTACTAACGTCCGTACCCACCGACATTGGGTTCAGGATGTTACAGAAGTCACTAGAAATGTGTGAATTCCAAACCTAAGATCAATCACCAGTACTCGATATCAAAGACTAAGAGAATTTCTTCCTTGGATATAGATTAGCACTTCATGCTACTCATATGGTAGAAGAACACAAAAATATATTGTCTTATAAGCAGTATGCAAGAGGCAAGCACGAGTTATAGCGTAGTAAACTACTAAGGCAAGTGAGTGCCTCTAAGTGATAATGGACACTTATGAGCGCATGATTGGTTATAAATGCTTAGAGTGTGTTACTAGTGAAGTAGTTCTATAAACACACACATACACATGATGCTCACAACGCGCATACCATAAGGACAAGGTACATGCGCGAGAAACCTATACGCAACAAATGATGTGGATACATATAGAGGGGTTTTTTTTTTCAAATTTATGATGTGATAATGAAATGAATTATGGTATGGGTGTATTGGTATGATGAAATGTCGTTGACATGTTTGGATTATAAAAATGGTTATGGTGATACTTAGTCTCTAACGGGATATTGGCTCTTAAAAAATAAAATTCTTTTATTGAGGAAAAACTAGTGTCATCGTAAAACTTAATTTGACATACTAAATTTTTTAATCGTGTAAAAATTGATATCAAAGTTAAGTTAAAATAAATGACATCACATGATGTTGTGATAGAAACATTATTAAAAAGAATAGTAAGCTAAAAAGATGTTAGGTTCAACCATCGAATAGATGATGTTTATAACACAACAATTTGACCTCTTGTTCTAATTGATAAGTGTTGTAAAAAGAAGGACATAGGAGTATAAAAACTCAACCATGCTGAAGTTTTTCAATATTCTTTGAGATTTTATCTCATTAATCAACTTAATAAAGATTAAGAATCAGACTCTCTCTAACAATGTTATTCTATTGAAGATGTTTGCCCAAGGCACATCCAGTGGAGCTGAACTCACTAGAAAGATAAAAGTTATTAATTTGGAGAATTTCCTATGGTATATGGACTAGTATTTTAAGACTGCTTATATTTTAAAGAAAGAGAAAATATAATTAACATGTATCTTGTTGGAGACGTCAAGTTCTAATAGAGAACTATAGTATAAATTTTACTAGGCCCTTTTATTCTAACGAGTGAAATATTCTAGAAAGAATTAAAAGAGCAAGGAGTAATTCTTTCCCCTGAATACACCTGGATAACTAAAGAGTCTCTGAAGAGACTAAAGCGGACCAGTAGAATTCAAGATTATGTGATGCAGCTTAGTTTGTTGTCCTAGGGGTCAAGAACATGTCAATAGAGAGGAAGTTGTTTAACTTCACGTTTGGGCTACAATCATGAACCGAAATTGAAATTCGAAGGTAAGGTGCGAAGGATTTGCATAGTGTGGCAATTATGGATAACTTTAAATAACATAGACAGTTTATAAATTATATTGAAACAAAACATGATAATAAATTAATCCAATTGATAAGTTTATGCTATCTATCATCATCATCAGCGTTTTGGTTACAAAAAAGTAATCAGTTTATACCATCCTAAAGTGCTTATTAAAAATAAGAACTTACAATTTAAAATGAGTAAAATACTCTCAAGCTAACAAGCATTTGATTACATGGTGAATTTGAAAGATTCATAAATTATATTGAAACAAAACATGTTAATAGATTAATCCAATTTATAAGTTCATGTTATCTACCATCATGATCAGCTTTTTGGTTACAAAAAAAAAAATAATTGTAAAGTGCTTGTTGAAAAAGAAGAACCTACAATTTAAAATGAGTCAGATACCTCTCAGGCTAACAAGCATTTGATTACATGGTGAATATGAAAGGTTCAGCACCTACAATTTAAATATTCTCAATCTAACAAGCCTTCAATTACATGCTGAATATGAAAGGTCCTGCATGTTATATTGATTCATTCACTAAAATTTAGATACGCACACACAAATGAACTCAATTAGTTATTTCCTTTCTTACCAAAAACTGAAATAATTGAAGATCTGTTGAAAACTTTGAAGATAGTTATTCTACCACTTTGCGTAAAGAAAATATAAAAACACAAATAAAAACTAAAGTTATAAAAAATGGAGGGGAGAGAATCCTCCAATTGATTAAGAACTTGCACCCAATTGCCATTGTTCTTGGCTATAATTATACAAGAACTTTCATATTAGTACAACTGTGTATAATCTTAATCTTAGATGTTACCTCTTGCATAGTGAACAAATAGAGATCGATGAAAACGACTTTGAGTAAGGATATAGTAAACTTGTGAAGACAGATGAAAAGAATCCTAATATATATCTGGAGGGAAATGCCCATGAAAAGAGCGACTTTCTTGTGTCCTCTGAAGATGGAGCTTCAATGCATAGTTGTTAAGCTGCATAATAACAAGACATAGCAAAGTAACTTCTTTAATCATTGACAATATTCGCCTATTTTTCTCTTTATATTAAGAATCATTCAACTACCATTCTTGCACATACCAAATAAACTGTGCACTTGGCAAAGAAGAATTGGTACCAAGTAAATGTTAACTAATTGGCACATTTGACAAAGCATCAAAGAGGATCAAAAAGCATGAATCAAATTCATCTCCAAAGACTTCAAACTAAAGGCGTAAGTAACTAACATATAAAAAGATTATCTCATTCTACTTTTGAAGAATATGCTAGTAAGCAATGTAAGAAAAAGGATGGAATTAAATTAAAGAGGCCAAAATTTTCGACATGATCTAGTAATTGAGTGATGAAAGAATGAGAATTGAATTGAATCAGAAACAGACACAATTAGTTTCTTTCCTTTTCCTTTCTTTTTTTGTTGAGAACATATGGACACAAGCAATTACAATATACAGGAAGGTCAAAGAATATTACCTCCAAATTACGAACTTGTTCTTGGTACTGGCCTAGGACAAGCTTCAGATGTTGCACTTCCTTAGTCTTCTCCTCTTGCTCAAAATTTCGTTCACACTGAATGGCAACAGCTCTCTTCAAAATTTGATTGTCATTTAACAAGCTCCGTAGATGTTCCTTTAAAGAAGCATACTCAACCTGCTCCATGGATAAATCCATTAACACCCCACCCCCCCAGCCCAGCCCAACCCAACCCCATGGGGTGAAGAAAAAATGAAAAGAGTCTGAGTGATGGACACAATCACAAGCATTAATGTCATATATTCTCAGCCAGAGAACATAGAAGAATGAAAATTTTTATTACCTCCTTCACAGCCCTTGAGTTGGCAGTTATAGCTTCCTCAAAAGCCTCTAAAATTCTTGCAGCTCGTCCCTTGGCATCATCAATATCTCTTGCATTTGTCATCTCATGCACAAACAAATCCACCCACTTGGATCCGTCTGTCATATTTACATAATCAACAGCTGCTTGCACATCATTTACAGGTTCAACCTCCAGGTGTGAAATTTGACTACCTAAACCATAAAGATTGAAGAGGAAGCTTCATAAAACAATCTAACCACAAGCATACTGTAAAACTCGCAAGTAAAACACATAACAGGTATGACTACCAGTTCAACAGCTTACATTATTCCTAAAATAGTTCAAGCCACTGAATGATTTTCTTCCTCCAGTTACGCAGTCTTAAGTTATAGCTACTTGTCTAAATAAATTAATAAAGGGAAATCATTAATAATAGATGACTTACAAGTAGCCATGCTCTGTCCGAAAACATCTGTACAACTTCCAACAGTAGTCGAATCAATGCTAGGTGATTTATTCATTTCAACAGCATCACCAACAGAAAGAACACGTAGACTCTCGATCGCATCTTCAATCTTATTGTTGTTATTTCTGAAAATAGTTTTTACCAACTATATGCAGAAAGACAATAGAAGATTATTGACTGTTGGAATCAAAACGCTCCAAACAAATAAGGTGTTAGCAGAACAAAATAATAAACACTAATTAAAGCAAGCATAAATTCTCCAAGATCGTCGGAAGAGCCATAATTGACTCCAATCCCAACTTTTACGTGTCTCAAAGATCCCTTGTCGATTAGCTAAGACACGTGGAATACATATTCACATCGTTTAGAAACTAGAAACCAAGCAAACTAATTGAGGAAAACCATTTTAAACTGATAAAAGAAAGAAATTTGTGTAACTCATTTCATATTCATACCACTTTGAAGAAAACCTGAAGAAATTTAATAATTTGACTTCAAAATGTTGGACACACTACAACAATGAAGATAATAAGATAACACTTACTCCATCCAACTATAATATCGAAGACATGAAATTAATTAAAAAAAAAAAAAAAACTACACATAATCTTTAACAATTAACATGAAAAACTGAAATTACTACTGGAAATGACCGACTTACATTATTCCAATCAACCCGTTATGAATCATAGCAAAATTTTCCAATAAACTTATAAACATGAAATGTTTAACAATGAACACACACCTCATGATCCAAGGCAGGAAACATATCGAGCAAGGCCGATAGCGGGTCATCTGATCCGGACCCAATATCGGAGGATCGGACAGGAGATCCGAAAGTCGAACATCTAGATCGCTTAGCCGATGATCCAGAGGAACCAAATATCTCTTCAAACCCAACCCGTTTCCCACAAACCCCGGCAGACATCTGCACCAACCTAAAACCCTAAGGTTTTTTTCTAACAAATTGCTCTCAAAATATTCACACAACAAAATAAAAGGAAATTTATCAAAAGAACACGTTAATACGAAAGGAAAACAAATATATACATATATATATATATATACAGCAATATTATTTATATCCAAATATTATCTAACTTCATTCAGTATTACGGTTATACGATCTGGAAAAACCCTACTTTTGATGGGGAAGGTAAGAGAGATGTTCGAGATTCGATTATTACAGGAACCTGAAATTGTCTACCGTCGAGGTCCGCGGTAAAGATGAATGATGCAAGTAAAGTATAGTTGGGTGAAGTAGCTAAGCTGGTTTCTACTTGATTCAATGCGCTGTCTCGGGTTCCTTCTTTTATCACGTGAAATTAAGTCTGCATTTCTGCTGGTCCTATCTCATGCTTTGATTTTTAAAATAGTTGGCAATTAAAAATATATATTTACTTAATATTTGAAAGAAAAAATTATAAAAAAAAAAAATAGTATTATTTTTAAAAATAAAAATAAAAATTTTATGTGTAGTGAAATTGATATTTGAAATTTATTTATAAATTTTTAATAAAACATAAAATTATTTTTTAAAAAATTATATATTATAATGTTTTGTATTAAATTTATCAAGAACAAATTTTGCTTTAACTTGTTACTAAAATATTTTACATTCTATTTGTTTAATTACAAAAGTATTTGTTTAAACCTAAAAACTACAATTAAATGTTTGACCAAGTAAATGACAAAGATATTAAGCCAATAAAAATAGACAACATGTTAGTTCAATCGTTTAATTAATCGTCTGTTTAGCCTTTAAAATTAGTATACTAACTATTTTCAAACAATATTTACAAAAAAAAAAAATACTATAAAGTATGTTATTACATTTTTTTATTAAAAAAATGTTATACTGTAATTTTTTAATTTATTATAATTATTTTAATTAATAAAATTTAGACACTGCAAGATATTCTTTAAATTCGAATATTTGATAACTTATTGGGACAAATTTAACTTAGTTACTATAACCCACCAACATACTAATGATATAAACTATAAACTCTTCTGAATCTTTTTCTAAAAGTAAACATATAAGAAGAAATTCTTTTGAGGATCTCCGACTTTGCTCAAATAAAAGGATGATTTATGTTTTTGGTTCCTTAAGAAACATGTTAGGAAATAATGATGTACGATATTAAAAATCTAATAAAATTTTAGATAACTATCTCAAAATATTTCTTTAAGATTAGAATGTAATTAGAAATTCTTATTTGATTTCTCTCCAAAATAAATGATTTTGCTCTTAATTTCCCTCTCAATCTTGTTAGAAATCTTGTAATTGAATTATATTTAAAGACCTAAACACTTATAATTGTTAAAGGCAAGAGAAATCTAGAGTTAGTGCATTTAGTACACCTAACAATCAAATTTAGAGTTATAATTACATATGTAATGTGTGATAGTTCGACAAATATCTATAAGACATAATAAAAAAAAAAAGTGAATAAAGCCTTTATATTTATGAAAAGTATGCATCACTCTATACCATATAACATATTTTAAGTAGTACAGAGTGTTATGTGTATGCTTCCATGTATTGTTGTAAAACACATCACATCTTTTGAAAACACGTTTGTGTAATGTAACAGAAAGCATTCATTCTACACATTTTTGAAAAAAAAAATGTTATTTTGTTTCTGAATATTTTTCCATTTTAATATAGTTTTAAAATAGTTTTTCAATTAAGTTTTTTGTGTAAAGCACCAAAAGTAATTTTTCAATCATTTCAAAATAAAAAGTTTTGATGTGATTATTTCATCACACCCTTGCTATACGTACATTTTAAATATGTTCTTATGATGTATTTTTTATATCACATTTTTTATTTCAAAATTTTAAAGATAAAATCTTTAGTCCAAATTCTGAATTGTATACGGATAAAGATGTTGAGTTATACATGTTAGATCTTTCATTCTTCTTCTCTTTTGTCTTTTTTCTCCCATGAGTTCTTCACACTTGATTTCACCATCCTTATTTCTTATTGCAGTTTTTCCTTAAATTCTCATTTAACTAATGTTAGTATAATTAATTTTTGTAATTCATCAAAATCAATTCGAATAGTTTGACAAACTTAATGGATTATGCCTTGAATGCACATCTCAACTATTGAAACTTTCGATCGGCAAGTTATGCAATCAAGATTACATGCTCTATCTTGATTGATAATCAGCAACTGACTCGTCTTTCTTTTGTTTGGTGTTAATAAGCTTAGTACTGTTTACTGTTTGATAAGTATTGAAAAATCAACTAACGAACTATTTTATAACTGTACCAAAATATCATAGATTCAACCTCTAAGTTGGTGTACCAATTGCATGCAATCTCACAAATTATTTGGCAAGTAGATCTTAAGCAGCACATGTATTATCAAAACTTTCAACGAAGTGAACATTATAGTATTTGAGATTATTTATTTAATTGAATTGTCGAAAATTTAAAGGTTAACAGCTGTTGGCATCACCATGATGTTGATAATCTTTTTGTAAGGCTTCAAATACAATATATAAATTTGGAAAGAACCACCATGTTATACTTTAACAAGAATCTTGATTATGCATTACGATTGCTGCACTGACAACAAAGTCAATATAATCTTATTCTTGCAGTACTTTCATATTTTTAATGCTTCATATATGATTTAGTTTGTGAGGGGATTCATCATTATTGTTCATCCCTAACTTAGTCTTAAGGGTAAAAATCTCTTGATATTTATCCTTCAAATATTGAGAAAATGTTGAGTTTTTTTTATCTTTTTTTTTATCTATTTTAATAATTCTTTCTCCCACGTCGGAAGTGTTTATCATAATAATTAGTATCATTTCATACAAATAAGAAATTATGCTTGCATAATTTGGTGAGACATATTGT